TCTGTCTACGATGATACCACAAATCCTACCTACCCGGAATATGTCAAAATGTTGCAACACAGAATGAACTATACTCGCGACAAGGCAATAGAGTATAAACAAAAATCCAAATTAAACTCTAAATCCTATTATGACTCGCATACACGTCCCGTAAGTTACAAAGTTGGAGATTACGTGTTATTAAAAAATCACACAATGGGGATACCATTGTGGAAGGGCCCTTACAAGGTTACTAAAATCCATGGTAACCATACATTGTCTTTACTCATAAATAGGCGCCACGTAAGGCACCACTTTGACGAGGTCAAACATGTGGAGGCTCAAGGGCCTTCAACCTCAACTTAAATATAGTCTTAATTAACATAGGTAAATAAATTAACTTTCAAATCTTATACCTATACAAACTACATATATACATAATTTACACTTTTACTTAGCTATACGCTTACACAAATATTATCAATTTATTATTTTTACATAGGATTAATATAGATATATACAAATAGTACACTACTTATACAGAGTTCTGTATATGCCTCTTTTCCTTACAGCATACTGGCCCAAGGTCATCCGGAATATGTCCGGAAGATTGACTCAAGCTCCGGTATATACTTTGACCCAATTGGTGAACTCAAAATTCATGTAAGCCACTTAGATATAATAACTCCTCTGGATATCTCGTACATTGAACCACACATAAAAAATATCAATTCTGTATTAGGCACTTTGCGTCTTATATGCAACCAAATACAAATTGAAACCTCTAATAACTTAGAATGCCATAACACATTGTCACCTCTGACAGTTAGGTATCATGATTTAGTTTCGGAATATTCAGCTATCTCTCACTTAACAGACAAAAGGTTCAAACGAGGGGCATGGATAGGTGGTATTGGCTCTCTCTCCAAAACTATATTCGGAACTCTGAGTGAGGATGATGGCATCAAATATGATAAAGCCATCCGAAGTATGCATGATAATGAGAAAAGGTTAGCATCATTAATGAAAGAAAATATTTTGGTTACCTCGTCCACCTTATCAAAATTTAATGAAACTTTACATATAATAAACAGTAATGAAGCTAGCCTTAATCAAGCTATCGATGATTTCTCTTTAAAATTAAAAACTTAACTTTAATTTCAAATGAATTGACTATAAAGTCAAACATAAACTCAATACTCAATAGTTTAGAAGCATCCATACTAACGTTATCGTTCCGGCTTGAAGACATAACAAGCGCTATCACGCTTAGTAATAAAAACATTCTGCACCCGGCTGTACTCCGTCCTACGGAGCTATACCAAGAAATCGTCGATAACTATAGATACTTACCTGTAGATTATAAGTTACCTGTTAGCCTAGCGTTAAATAATATTCATACTCTGATGAATATATCTAGTATAGTATGCTATAGTTTAAGCAACAAGATTGTATTTGTATTAAGGATACCTTTAGTATCCCCTAAGGAATTCAACCTGTATCACAGCATTGCACTACCTACTCCCCATGATAGTATAAATACAAACTCTTTTACATATGTAATACCAAGTAGTAAATACATAGCAATGACCAAGGACAAATCAGAATATTGTAATACGGACTCAATATCAGAATGCATAGCGATAAACTCCTGCGAATATATTTGTGACGTCATGACAGTGTTCCCGACCAGTGCGAATCCGAGTTGTGAAAGTGAATTAATGATAAATGTGATAAAAGTGTTACCGGTACAGTGTAAAACCGATTTCGTTCACGGACACATAGACTTATGGAAATCACTTTCCAATAATAATTGGATATAATGTACAATCCCAAAATAATAAATTATATATTGAATGTCCAAATCAAGGAATTGTTGAAATAAATATAATTGGTACAGGAATACTTACAACCCCAACTAACTGTATATCTTATTGTCAAAGCACTAGGTTGATACCTAGACTTAACAATATAATAATAAACTCCACCGTTGTAAAATACGATTTTAATATTATTAATGACTCTTTGTTGCACTTTAGATAAGTTTAAGATAATAACAAGTAACGAGGATGACATTACAAAATATTGACTTGGACGTTTTTACACAAGAAACAAAATCAAGATTGAGATCGATATCTGACCAAGCAGATTCAATCTTAAATCAACACCAAATTATTTAATACTAGACTCATTACTCGGTATTACTTATAGTTATAATCAGCATTGTTTGTTCTTTCTGTATTTTTAAAATAGTTAAGTTTATTAAATGTCGCAGCCGTCTTACCTACCTTCTTCCCAGACCTATACAGCCTACTCCAGCAGACCTTCCTTCTGATCAACCAACAGAGCATGAACCAGGTTTACCTCTAAAAGTCATAAAACATCAAGCAGATGTAGAAGTCATCCCATGTCCTAGTATTCGCAGAAATATATAAAATTTGTATATATATGTATATATACCCAGACTTTCAAATACCTTCCTAAACATCGTATTTTCAACCCCGATGTTTAGTCTACCCCTGGGAGGTGTTATAGATAGTATATGTATCCCCTTTAGCACACCATGCACCCTTGCCTTGCACAGACTGCAAACTCATCATTATGTACTCATAGCCGCCAGTCCCATCCATACGATCCGCAGTCTCGATCCAACTTCCTAACCAGACGGCTGTCCTACCAAATAAATAAAATTGTTTTTTTTTAAAAGCCATTCTTCCCGAGGCTCATAACAGTACGTTTTACTATTTTTTATTTTTTTTCATGATTGTAATAATTTACTAATGTACTTTGTGAATAGAACAGGTGGCCGAATTGGCCCACTGTGTTGGCACTCACTGTGTTGTATACGTAGTGCTATATTGCACTGTAACTTGAAAACTGTAAGAAATTAAAAAAAATGTTTATACAAAAGTTGTTGGTAATTATGTACGGAACAACTTTTCCATTTAAAGTTTTCCATTAATTTTATTTCCATTAATGATATTTTCAGAGTGAAAAAGTGAAAAATCACTTTTTTTGAGACTTTAGCGCCACCTACAATGCGCATTTTTGAAGTTATACTTCTTTAGGCGCGTTATGAAAAATGATGAGAGTGAAATTTTAAGATGCGCGCGCATCACTGTAACACAAAATTTTAACAGCATGAAGTTGGTTGGGACCAACTTCATGCGTTACTTTTGTGTTTACCGCACATTAAGAAAATCTACCAACAAAATAGAAATAGAATCTCTATTTAGTGGGTGCTAACGACTGCATTGTGAAGGCCTATCAAAAGTATTTATTAATCTGGAACAACGGAACCAAAGCGCGATTCAGGAGACTACAGCGCCATCTCTTGACCATTGGTGTAGTAGAACCAAAAACCACATCTTTATTTTTTATAATAAAGTAACAGTTATAGGTATTCATATTTATAATATTTATCCACATGTTTCTAGTTTGTATATTCGGAATACGTGTTTGAGTTTCATACAAGTGCAAATCACATAATGTTCTAATAAATTATATTCAGTAGCGATTTTAATTGAATATTTTGATTATTTATTTATTTTTTCAAATTAAAACTGAACTTTATTGACTTCGTCCTTTTCCAGACTTTTCATTAATTTACTGTAATTAATTATTTGCATGCAATTAAAAACTAATTTTAAACGATGCCAAAGAAGGATAACTTCTCACGCGCCTACATAAGTACACGCACCCGTTTTTTTTGTTGTACGAGATTGCAACAAGGACATAAATTGTAGTACTCAACGCCCTCTACAATTATGGTCGAAAAAAAGTTTCTAAAATGCATACAAAACAAGAAAAATGCGTTTCAAAAAATTTTTGAGGGTTTTTTGAGTTTTTCAAAAAACGCCTACGAGTTGAACATGCCCATCGCCAAGGTGGCTTACTGACGTCATTTGGCAACAGAAAAAACAAGACTTACCTTTAGGTTTTTTTTTCACCACTTAACCTACAGATTGACTGTACTACAGAGTTAAAGCTTATTTCAGCAACGTAACAAAGCAAATTCACCATTATCTCCGCAACTCCGAAGGAGGACGACCTCCGTGGTCGAGTGGTTTACACGCCGGGTTTCAAGGTGTTGCCTTTTTTAGAGGTCCCGGGTTCGAATCCCGGTGGGGGCAGATGTTTGTGTGATAAATACGAGCATTTGTTCTTCAGTCATGGATGTATATTATGTATTTCTATATAAATATACTTATATATGTATCAGTAAGTATATGTATTCTATTCGTTACCCTATATAGTATCCCGTAACACAAGCCTGCAGTGCTTACTTTAGGGCTAGGCTAATTGGTCTGAGTGTTGGAAATATTTATTATATTATTATTAATACATGTCCATTACGTAGCGAAGATTCTAAAATGCATACAAAACAAGAAAAATGCGTTTCAAAAAATTTTTGAGGGTTTTTTGAGTTTTTCAAAAAACGCCTACGAGTTGAACATGCCCATCGCCAAGGTGGCTTACTGACGTCATTTGGCAACAGAAAAAACAAGATACCCTTTAGGTTTTTTTTTCACTGAAACGATTTTTTTTTCGACAGATTGACTGTACTATGTGCTAAGGGTCATCCATAAGATACGTTCATGTTGAGTGGGAGGGCGGGGTCAACGAAGTGTAACGAGGGGGTCCTTAGTTTCGTGACGTCACATTTGAAAGTCTAATACTTTTGAACTTGATCAAAAAACTTTAAAATATTTAGACGCCTATATGTTTGGGTTTTAATTTGTTTCGTTGTCTAATTTTTAGAACTAAATATCCAAACATGTTTGTCACATTTGTGAGTCCCCTTAATGTGACCAACTGTGACAAGGGCAGGTGGAGGGGTAAATAAATCACTAAATTAGTGTGACTTACGTTATGGATGACCCCCTAGTATGAATTAAGAATTTAACAGTATTTTGCTGTTTACAGCTTTAGCTGCAAATTTTGGCATTTAATAGCAATAAATCATCAATTATTATCAGTAGATAATTTTTAATTGCTGTATGGTAAATAAATCAATCAACTCCTTTATTACAAATTATTTTATTTTTGACTGTACATATGAATTAAGAAATAAAACACTCAGTCTATCAAAGTGAATAATCAATATTCAAAATTTCAAAATGATAAATGTATCATCCTTAGTTCCTTACCCGCTTGCCCTCAGTGAAACATAATTTACAAATTTAGGCTGATTATTACGAATTGATATTATTTTACAGGTTTGACAGGGACATAATAACATACTATGCAGCAGAATGTTGAAGTCAATAATATGATAGGTAATCTCTCTACTTTCACTAAAACCATTGAGTGATAAATATTAAAAGAAAATTGTGTTTTGAAAATTTATCAATTATAATAATTTAGCTTCCATGGAACACTAAATTTTGCAATTTCAAATCAGACTTCATATTATTGAATTACTTTCAACTGTAGAGCTCACTTTCTCTCTTTAATATTAATTATCAGGCATAAAAATATGATGAAAATATATTTGTAAACAACCAAAAAGAAATTTATTTAGCAATCCCAAATTGTATAATCAGTGTAAAAATACACATGAATTAATGAAGCAGTTAGGCTATTGACATAAGATCAACATGTTATAAGAAATACACATTTTGTATGTTCATTAGAATTTATAATTTTGCCTCTGCACTATAACAATTAGTGTGTTTATATGAGTTAATTTAATTAATCATCAAAATTTTGTGAAAGCAAAAAATTTGCTGCTAGATTTTCATTCTTTTCGCAGGCAAAATATGCTTGAATAACCATATGCTCTGGAAATCCAAGGGCTTTTAATCGTTCAATGGCTTCTTTGTCTTGAGGTGAAACTTGAATAACATTCTGAGGTGGTTGTGGTTGCTCAACTGCACTTTCTTCGGTAGCAGCTGCACCACTTGATGGGTTGACAGGTTCATTTAGCATTCTAACAAAAGCTTGTTGATGTTGACTGATCGCTTGCAGAAGTGCAGGATTGGTTTGACCAATTTGTTGTAAGATTGCATTCAACAAATTGGGATTCTGTTGAATAACAGCTCGCATTTGCTGAAATTGTGGTTGGTCACGAAGAAAAGCTAAAGGGTCATCATCAGTCCCTTCCTCAACTTCTTGTTCCTGCAGAAGCTCTTCAGGAATTCCTGTTATTAAGTACTCCACAGCTCTTTCTCTATTGTTAAATGAAGCTCTTAAGGCTTGCTCAACTTGTTGTCGATTGTAACCCATATCCATTATGCTCTGAACTGTAGCTTCAAAATCAGGTTCATTAGCAGCAGTCACGGGTGCCTCAGCAGAATGTTCCGGTTCAGCAGCAGCAGGAGGTTTTGGAGAATCTTCCGGTTTTTTATCTTTACCGTCGCCGCTTTCAGTTGAAGTGCTTTCCCCAGCTTCAGGAGCGGAGGTTGACGAAGCTTGTATTTCCGACGCTTTAGGTTTAGTTACCATGATAACAATAAATTTCTTCTCATCTATATTATATGTGTTTAACTTATTGTCATCAAGAAGAATCTTTCCGGCGTAAATGAGTCTTTGATGGTCGGCAGCGTAATCTTTTCCTTTCTCGACTTCAATTTTGAGCTTGAGGGCTTTGACAGTTTCTTCTGGGTCGATTTCTATTTGAAAAGTAAGTTGCTGTAATGTTTTCAATGTCACTAACATTTTAATAAAGTTTCGCTGTAAATTGATTATTGATTCAATTCCTACTGCAACTTAGACTATTTATTTCTGAATTCTGACTCGACAAAATTATGCAGTAAACATAACCTCGCAAAATCACCTTCAATCACAGATAACAGAAATCATAGACAAATAGAAGATGGATATGCAATGCATGGACAATTCTTTTAACCTTAATACGGTTAGAGTGAGTGATAGTAAACAGTCTTTTTTATCCCTTTTTTAATAGGATGACCATGACTTATTTTTTGGAATTCAATATAAAATCGGACCACGATAACTCTTCAAAATCAATAGATTACTCCAGAAATACTTGATCTGGCAGCCCTGCTTTTAAGACGTCATTAATAAATGTTATGCCATGCAAGACTCTTTCTACTGAAAAACATTTTTAGAAATTTTTAATTTGTGGAGAGAGAAAAAATGAAAGAAAAGTGGAGTGAAAGTCAAAATAAATCTGCGAAGGAACAAATGGAGTCGGTTCTTATGCAAAAAAAACAGTGTTATGAAGAAATCCTAATCCTAACGTCAACTAGTGAGTATCAATCAATTTCTTGATACCTACTTGTTTGTTTTTGTATTGGTATTTTTATTTACATTTCAACAATTACATTGGGACCGATTCTGGCGTTACATTGGTGTCGATTCTGGCGTGATTCTCTAAACTTAAAACTAAAATATAGTGCTGGTGTCTTTTTCATATTTGATGCATATGCACTCTATTTCGCAATATCCGCTACAGTAGTGACAATCTATATCTAATAAACAATTGTGCTCGTGTCGCCATTTTACCTTCCCATAAGTTGTCTGTCATTCCCTACTAGTGATGTGCCGAGTCGGTTATTTTTGGTATACGGGTATTTTAGTACTCGTTAAAAAAAGATTCGAATAAGGACTCGAGTCGGAAGACTCTGGTAGGTATTCGAGTACTAGAACGAGTATTCGAATACTTTTCTGGTCTCGAGTATTTTTTGAATCGTTGACCTTGTAATTTTTCGAGTCTCCTTCCTCCCCGGTCTATATTCTTCGAGTTGACCTGAATAGCATTTCACGACTATATATATAATAGCAGTCTTTTACGATTTTTCGCTGGTACTTGGTCAATGTCATTTGATTGAATTGTAGATGACGATGCTAATGAGTCTAATGACTCCAAGTCCAAATCAGAACTCTCATCCAAGCTTTCGTTTTCATTTTGCTTACTTTTTTTTCTATTATCGCTGTATAAATCAAAGGATGTTTTTTTTTCATATGTTTTAATAAATTTATGGTGTTTCCAAAATAACAAATGTTTTTTGACACTCTTTGCACTCCACTTTTTTATGTGTAAAAATATTATTTAAATTCCATACTTCGGAGCCATCATATCGCAAAGTCACTAGTTAAAAAACAGTAAAACTTTACACAAATTCTACAGTTAAACTGGTAACCGAGAGTTCGACTAATTAAAATAGGTAATTACTTATAAGAAACAAATATGTAATAGGGAAGATGCAATATTTTTATTTTTGTTTTCATTTTAAAGAATTCCATGTAGAATAAACCACAGATATATTAGAAAATTGAAACATTGTGATTTATCGGAAAAATAGCGGTTTTAAATTGACAATTTAAATTTTCGCGCGAAAACGAACTTATGGTTGCGATGACGTCACTCCTGTCAGTCACTGGTCGTAATTGTTCGTTGCTGGCTTTAAAATTTCATACTTTTGCATATTTTTTCGACTTTCGAAATATTTTTTTGAAAAATTTAAAATCTACTATCCATCAACATCATGTGATCATAACAATACTACTAATACTCCGAAAAAAAGCCGTGTTGACTCATGTTTTGTGCCAATCTACTTCAACAAAGTTCCCAAATAAATTGTTTTTGACTGGAACTTCTGACCCAAAACTGAAAAAAATGTGGTTTCAAGCTGAGAAATGACAATTATTCTCCAAAGACCATTATTCGATGCTGAGAAGATCACTTCGACGTATGTCGGCGAATATACTTGTTATATGCTTAATTAATCTGCTTGTACGTAAAAACGCATTAGTAACCTACCTAATACTTACAAAACCTGTCTATAACATATTTTTAATTTTACAGTTGGAGAATGACGTCGAAAATTAGATAAAGTTTAAAATGTGTAGCACAATCTTCACATTGGCAGGACTGAACCAAGCTTTGCGTTTCATTTAAAATAACTGTAACACGATAACCTTCTTTACGTACTTTATGCTCCGGAGAACTCGACCTTTTACTGTACATAATTTTCCATCTCTTTTAATTTGGACATAGCCGATTGCATTATCGCCGTAAGATTTGTAGAAGCCGCTGAATAAAATACGAAGTTTAACAACTACGATTTTTACATACCGTAGTAATTTAGTCCCTTTCATTTCTACACTTAAAAACTCTGCACTTTGGACAAAAAAAGTTATAACCATGTCAACGCTAACTCTTGGTAAATTCCTGGAGTCTGCTTTGATAAACGCAACTTCCATTTTTATTAAATGTAAAAAAAACGCAATAAATATTCCCATAAAATAATATTAACTTTTAACAACCATAACCTCAAAGAAGTTGTCATAACAGGAGTGACGTCACTAAACGCTGATTGGTGTTTTAATATACGTTCCGTTTCAAGTATTTTTAATTCGTAATAATTGTTAAAAAACAACATTATGTAAAATAAAAACGTTGTAGTGGCATTTCTTTTATATTTTTTTAACATTTTAATCATAAAATTTTCATAAATATTATATATGCATCTTCCCTATTATTCTTTTGTTAACATCTCATTAAAGTGATCAGCCGAGTAGGAAACATAAACACGTTCAAACCTTCACCGACTCATCAACACTTCACGTTACTAACTTCACTGTACGAGTACGACTGAATAGTCGAATACCGTAAGTACTCGAAACCTGTACTCGAGTACTGTGGATCCGAATACTTTATTTTGAGTACTTGAGTACCTGCTAGGTATTCGAGTCAGCTTGACTCGGCACATCTCTATTCTCTACTAGTTTGTTTACAAATAAACTCAAAGTTGTCGACGTGATTCATATTGGAGGAATTTAAAACCTAGAAAATAATTAAATTAAGGATTTAAACATAAATGTGAAGTGTTCTGTAATTGATGGTAGCCTGTGTCAAAACACAAATAGACCTAACCTAAGTTTTTACCGGTAAATAACCAATTTAACTAGAAATTGCTATTTTTACAAGAAGTTGATTATGGAACTATATTAAAAATACAGCTTAAGAAACCAAAGGCTACAGGAACCAAAGCCTGTTGCCTTTCAACGAATTTTCATGTAGTTTACAATAGTAATCTAGCAGCGCTAGTGTTGTACCCCCTCATCGATCGTGGTCTTATCGATATTTTATTTCCCTTATATTTTTAGTTTGCCTCGAACGGTACTAATAACGCGCAACAGTGTATTAGCTCTACGAATTATGTTATTCAATTTATGAAAAACAATAAACTAACAAAATAATACGAAGTAAACTTTAACTTTCCTTAACTAAAATCTAATAGAAAAGCGATTACAAATTTGTTACTCTAAGATATTCCGAATGAAAATTATTATAAAAACTTACTTATCTAATTCTTTTCATTTTTTCTTTTCAGTTCACTATATTACATAATAGGCAAATTAAGTAACTTCCTCTCGAGCGGCTAAGCGTACGCGCCATTCACAAGTACTTGCGGCACCACCCTTACGAGACCTCCCGCGGGGTGGAAACGATTACATTGTTTTGCCGAATTCTCTTTTATTTCGTAACAATACCCTACACAAACTATGTATATTCGGATTCTCCATAAAATTAACTATAAAACAGTGTGTACACAATGCGTCATGTCTCTAATCTATTTTAATTAAGTTACGGTAAATTCGAGAAAGATAAAAAAAGCCGTTTAGATGGGTAAAATGGAGTATATTTTCAAAATTTAAAATTTCATGTCCAGGTTTTTTGGTTATTTACACATTCTATTATAACTTACCAAATAAAATCATAAAATACCATACTCCCACAATTTAATTTTACACTATAGCTCTCACAATCCACGCGCCAGATGCGTAAACAAACACGCGTTAGAAAAAACAGGTGTCGGGTTTCAAGTAGGCGATAAAGATTAGACGGGCAGCCTAATAGCCATGATTTATGGGTTTACGGTTAGTTTAGATTGTAAACATCAAGTGTGAGATGAATAGTCCTTGTTAATTTTATAGTTTCAAGAACTTGCAACAAGGCATTTTAAAATCGCCTACAAATCAGTCATCTCAGTTTTATGTCGATAAAACGAAAAGTATTTACAATTTTGATAAACAGTTTCTTTTATCAAAATGTACATGAAATTTGCTTTAACAAAAACTAATCACTAGTTCGCATACAAGAAAATAATATAAAAAAATATTTCCTTCGTGTATTTGAATTTAGAACGACTGTTACACTGCGCGGATTTTGTTTTTTTTTTATTTCTTCAAAAATACTACTCAAGAGATTCTCTGTATTCGAAATATTAATCATGAATAATTTATTCAATAATTATAACTTAAAACATTACAATTATTATCGAAATTGTCACAGTTAAAACCTAAGGCCGTATACAGAAAGAAAGACGAAAGCCGATCGGCGCCGATCAGCGCCGATCGGCGCTTATCGGCGCCGATCCTTCCTACATAAAGGAAGCCGATTAAAGCCGATCAAGCAAAATGTCGGACTCATCGGACGATGATTTGGTTTTGTTAGAAAATATTTATTTAAAAATGCGAAAAACAGCTATACATCCTATAAATAGAGAAAGGAAACGTTTCGGAGAATACCATCATTTATTTGTAAAAAAAATTAAATTTGATGAACAAAGATTTTATACATATACAAGAATGATTCAAGAAACATTTTATTACATTTTGGATTTAGTGAAAAACCGTTTGATGAAAAATTGGGGCAATTGGCATAAACAACCAATCCTTCCAGAAGAAAGACTTGTTGTCACCATTCGGTAAGTACGAAACAAATAATTTTAGCGCTTAGTTAATAAAAGATAAAGTTATTAGATTTATAAAAAGATTATAACTTAGATTGATTTAATCTAAGGATAATAATTCAAATACAA